GAAGCCGGACTGGAGCGGATCCAGATAGACAGCTTCATCCAGGTACTGGGGAAGCTGTCGCGCCACCACACTCTCAACAACCTTCGCAATAAAGCGAAGGTTGGAGACTGGACGATAGTTAGCCAAAATAGCCGGATCCAGGGATGGCTTCTTGAGGAGAGGCCTCACCACCGCCTCTTTCAATTAACAACAATAAAATATTGTAGATTCCATGAAAGCAATATTTCAAATGTGCTTTACTGAAGTATTTTCCTTTACTACTGTTTAAGCAGCTAATCGTGGTTTCATCTTTAAATAACAAAATCTTAAATATGACTCCCATAGAGCATCATTCTGCAAAATAATCGTCCTTTCTTGTTGGTTAGCTTGTAAAGTCCAGTTAAGTTCTTTTCATGAGGGAGGAGAGAGAGGCAGGGCATTTCTACTGTATAGAAAGACTGCATAAATCTTGCATTTCTCAAAGCTTCTTTGCTTCCAACAGGCATCTAGATTTCTTCAATGTGTGTACCCTTATCCTACTAAAATGCCTTCTGTTCTTTAATTAATTTGAAATAAGACCCTTAGCTTTCAGTAGAATAAGAGCTTGTTATGTAGAGAGTCCTTAGTAAATCAAGTGTTCCGCCAAGAGACTTTTGATTAAATTGAGAAGAAATTAAAAGAAAAATCGAAGAATTGCAGCAGGAACTGGGTCTGCTGTGTTAAAGAGTTACAGGGACATCGTGACTGCAGACACTGTATTTATTTTATAATTCATTCGTTGTGCTTCAAAACGATACACTTTGGAACTTTCTACATTTGCGGTTTTTATTTTTATTTTGTGCCTTTCTCGGCGTTGATTTTTGGAAACTGCCTGAACTAGTTCCTACAGTTTTCTTGGCAAGTTTTTTCAAATCTTGGAGGAACATCTGACAGCTGTAACCAGGGGGACCTTTGGTCAGGTTCGCCTGATTCGCCAGTTGTGGCCCTTTCTTGATCGGGATTCCCTGTGCACAGTCACTCATCCCCTCGTCACCTCTCGCCTTGACTACTGCAATGCTCTCTACATGGGGCTCCCCTTGAAGAGCACCCGGAGGCTCCAACTGGTCCAGAATGCAGCAGCGCGGGTAGTGATGGGAGCAGCATGGCGCTCCCATGTAACACCGCTCCTGCGCGAGCTGCACTGGCTCCCAGTGGTCTTCCGGGTGCGCTTCAAGGTGCTGGTTATCACCTTTAAAGCGCTCCATGGCATCGGGCCTAGCTATCTTCGAGACCGCCTGCTGCTACCGACGACCTCCCATCGTCCCGTGCGCTCCCACAGAGAGGGCCTCCTCAGGGTGCCATCAGCCAATCAATGTAGGCTGGTGACCCCCAGGGGGAGGGCCTTCTCTGTGGGGGCACCTACCCTCTGGAATCAGTTGCCCCCAGAGATAAGGAGAATCCAAGACCTTAGTGCCTTCCGCCGTGCCCTTAAAACCCACTTTTTCCAGCAAGCCGGGCTGGCTTAAGAAGAAATTTTAAATGTTTTAATTGGTTTGTATTTTTAATTTTGGGCCAAATTTATATATATTTTAACTGTTTTTTAATATTTGTATTTTATGTTTTTTAATTTTGGCTGTACACCGCCCTGAGTCCTCAGGGAGAAGGGCGGTATATAAATTTAAAATTAAAAAAAAAATGTGATTTGCCATTGTCTTCTTTTGGGGGCTGATGCAGAATGATTGGTCCAAGTCACCCAGCTGGCTTTGCATTTCAGGTGGGACTAGAACTCACAATCTTCTGGTAAAATTCCACATATGAGATAACTCCCCCTCTCTCCCCCTCCCTCCCTCCCTCCCTCTCCCTCTTCCCCTCTCTCTCCAACTGCCAGCCTCTCCAAGGCCAGTTCCTGCTATCTGTCTCTGGATCCTGCTCCGATATGACTGAGAGATATTGTAAGTAACTCAGTATCTTAAAGATGACCTTAAGATATTGTAAGCTTGCAGAACTTTTCTTGCTGGGATTAATGGATAGTCAGTTAGAAAGAGTCAATTACAAAGATCATTTTTATATTCCATTACTGCTGTGAGACTCTTCTAGATGCAAAAACAGAAAGACTCTGAAATAGCCACCATGGAGGAATGGTTGGTGAAGATGACAGAACTACCAGAGATAGCAAAATTAACTTGTTTGGCTAGTGAAAGCTCAACAACTAAATTTATCAGTAACGGGAAACCCTTTGTGGGTTTTTTGCTGAAAAAAGAAAAGAAAAATGAACATGTGATTTATAGATTTGAAGATTAGAAAAGGTAGCTTATATAAAGAAGGAAATTATGATATAAATTTAGAGAGAGAGAGAGAGGGTAAAATATAAATCTTTTTTCTTTTTTTTTCTTTTCTATTTTTTCTATTTTTTCTATATTTCTTTTTCAGTTTCTTATTACTTTATTTTTCCTTCATTCAAAAATCCTAATGTTTTTGATTCTGTTGAAAAGTGACATTTTTTTCTTAAATAGGAAGCAATAGCATTACAGACACATTTCTCCACTACATATATAGAATGTATGAATAGTGTTACATATATGTTGGGCACATTCACACCGCATTGATCCACCTATCATACCTGAGCAAAAAGAAGGCAAAGACATACAAATGACTGAAGGAAAAATGTGTCACCTTATATTATAAGGATTCCTGAATTTGTATAAATATGGTAATTCCCAAATAACTGTATTGTGAGAGGAATATGGAGATAGCTACTAAAGGGCAATAGCTATTAAGCAGTTATTCTTAGACTAGACTATTCTTAGCTTTAATAGTACCATCCCTCCATGATAGGTGAAAAATGGGGATTTCTTGACGCAATGGAAGCACCATGGGTCTACCACCATTGCTAGAAAAACTCAGTGCCATCTGCAAATCCTGGATACCCATAAAACCGTTAATCTGTCTCAGCCTGATTTATTAAAGCATTGAGGAAGCAGTTCCTTGTAGTCTCACACACCCAGGTGATGAAAAACATGTATGATAGAAGACATTGGTTCATAGTTCACAAATCCCACTTTGGAGATCTAAATAAATAAATAAACTTTATTACGGTCACAGACCAGCAATAGACAAGAATTATCACTGTTTACAATAGTGTTAAAAGATATTACTTATAATAATGGTAAGTAATAACATCCATAATAATAAAACACATGGTACTGTCATGGAAAAATCCAATCAAAGAAACAGAAGACAGTAATACAAACCAATAATTCTTACTTTGAGATTCAGAGGTTTATTTCAGTAATAATTTGGATCATAAACAATAATAATACAACTTACATTAACAACCCATTGCAATGAGGTCCATTGACATAGCTGGTTCAGCAAGGACAGCTATAGGCCCTTAACTCATTTCGAGACATACTTTTTATACTCTTCTGCTCACATTTCACAACTTACTTCCTTGTTCTTTCTGATAGTCAGTTCTTTCTCCCTCAGTATCAAACTTCAGTACATGCCCTTGGTTACTTGATGGGAGAGTGGGTAAGTATGTGTGTAAATATAGATTCACTTTGGAGATCTGGCTACCCTATCTACTTGATGGCTTCCAGAAGATTGTTTAAAAAAATGAGTTTTTCATTAAATGTTTCAGTAATGGTTTACCTGCTGCATCAACACTTACATTTATTTTTTATTTTTGTTATTGCTATGCTCTTATTTTTGTCATTACAATAATGTTATGATTTATTTCTGGAGTGTGTGTGTATAATTTCTATTTGTTAATAATAATAATAATTGTTAATCGCACTAACACAAACTAAAGTAGAATGAGAAGGAAGGGGGAAAAAAGGAGAAATAAAAGAAAAAGTGCAAAAAAAGAAAAGCAGAAGGAAAGATATAAAGAAGCGGCTTCTGATCTTCTTCGCGGCAGTTATAAGTACATTTGTAATTTAACCTTTCTCTCAGGTTATATCCTGATTCTCTTCTTTCTATAGTCTGTCCTGCTAAATTATCAAAATCATAAATCACAAATTCATTTTTTTATTTTATGAGTTTATGTTTGTTGTTTTAATCGCCACTATGGATGTTTTAATTTTTGCATATGCCTGTAAACTATTAAGTATTGTGATGGGATAATCAATCAACCAATCCAACCAACCAACCAACCAGCCCTGAACTAGCAGCCCAAATCCTCCCCCACTCTCCCTCCTCCATTTATAATTGAAGAGAAAAACTCCCCCCCATCTCTCTCTCTCTCTCTCTCTCTCTCTCTCTCTCTCTCTCTCTCTCTCTCTCTCTCTCTCTCTCTCTCTCTCTCTATCTATCTATCTATCTATCTATCTATAAAGTGTTTTTTCTGTCGAAGCACCTGGTCTACCCCAATATGGGAGGGAGCATACCGCTTCCCTTTCGCCTTTCAGCTCCAATCCAGGAACCATCAGGCAGTCGCTTTCATGACAAACTATTTTGTATCAAATTTATATTTGCTGATAAAGAAATAAAGGGAGACTAGTATAGATCTATTTCTGATGAGAGCTAAATAGTTTGAAATAGATCTATACTAGTTTCTCTTTATTTCTTTGTCAGTAAATATAAATTTAACACAAAATACATACATTTATATATATATATATATATATATATATAAATATTGTGTGTGTGTCTGTATATATATATATATATATATCTTTTCTTTTCTTTTCGTAGGCCTTTATGTGTATTTCTCTTTAGCCAGGTTCTTCTTATGTAAACCAAGATTTTTATGCAGCCCTAGTTCAGTGAAATTACAATCCACTAGTTTCTAGGCTTTTTTCAGGCAGCCAGCAAGCACCAATGGGCTGCCTGAAAAAAGCTTAGAAAGCCTAGTGGATTGTGATTTCACTGAACTAGGGTTGCATAAAAATCTTGGTTTATGTAAGAAGAACTTGGCTAAAGAGAAATACATACATACATACATACATACATACATACATACATACATACATAGTTTTAGCGTATGCTATCCCAACTGAATATTTTACTGATTCTGACTTGTAAAATATAGGTTCAGCATCTACCAAAGTTTTTTATTTGGATTCTTCCTCTGTAAACTATCAAGATGCAACTGGGTTGAATCTAAAGATAAAGTACATATTTTTTTTTCAAATGGAGGTTGTACATCTGAAATTCTTTCTGAGTCATCAAAACTTGTCCTGAATGAGAATTTGCAAATTCAAATTCCATGCACCTGAATTTCCAAACCCAAATTAAATTATCTGCTTGCGATTTGTGCTAATTAAAAATATCTACAGATAAAGAGCAAAAATAATAATAATAATAAAAAGACCTCAAAGCCCTTGTGCAAGACGGGTCATTGGAAATATGTAGGATCCGGTTTGTCAGAATAGATCCTCTAGCAAAATGTATACAGTTAAACAAATGGAAAAAAAAGATATTTGTCTGTCAGCTTCACCAAGTTCTTCTAATCCTGGTGTCATCTGGAAGCTGTTTGCTTTTCCAAATCAGTAAGAGCATCTCAAACAAATTCTCAATGAACCAAATGTTAACTTCTTCTAGCCACTGCCCAGGCTAAGAGTGCTCCTGCCCTATGCAAAAATTTCCATAGAGGAAAAAAATAGCAGCGGTTAGAGAAATGCTATCGGGCTTGATTAAATATGGATGTCATGGAAAGGAGGTAAAAGAGAAACTGGAGATGCTTAGAAGTGGCTCTGCATCTCTCTCTTCCCCTCCCTAATTGAAAACAGTTTGGCTTGTCAGAAGGAAAACAATCACCTGTTTGTTGTTCCCTTGCATGTGCCAATTTTTCCAAATTAAAGGAGGCTGTAGTAGCTCTGTTGGTGTCTTTGCAGGATAAGAGCTGGGAGTCATAAAAAGCTCAGCTGGAAATCCCAGGTTTTTTTGTTTTTTTAAAAAAATATTTTTGAGTTGAGAATGAAGAGTGTGGTTGTTGGGTTGTTTTTTTTTTTTTTGTTTGTTCCTCTGCACTAGCATTGCAGGGAAACGTGTGTGTTTCGAAGGCTGCTGATGTGAAAATCCTTCTCCTGGGCCTTTTGTTTCCTTTTTCGTGACAATTCCCTGCCCTTTGGCACGGATGCACTAGGAGCGAAATTAATTTCAAGATTCCCGTGGAAGATGGCCTCGATGAAATTCCCTCTGCATCCTCCTCCTGGGGATAATTGGGATGTGACGTCATATGAATTGATTCTTCTCCTGAATGGTTGGGAAGGGGGAGAGAGATTGACAGGGAGGGGAGAGAGAGAGGGAGGGAAGGAGGGAGGGAGAGAGAGAGAGAGAGAAGCTCATCAGCCAATACATAAATGTGAAACCACATTAACAGCTCCTCTGTTACGAGAACCTGACATCTTGGCTTTCCCAAGCCTGATTATTGCATTGCAGCCTATAATTCTCAGGCTGGTTTTTTGCTACCTGGTTTTTTGTTTTTTTAATTTCCATTGATTCCATTGATTTCTTCCCCCCCACCCTCCACCTTCCTGGCAGGATCTGTTGATCAAACGTGCTGCTCCAGAAGCTGATAGAGATGGGAAACGCATCACGACAGAGAGATCCAGAGGGGCTGGGCATGCATGTTGAAAGCGAGGGAGGCAAAGAGGGGAAAAAATTGGTTCCTGTGTTCTCCAGGGGTATTGTGTCAGGAGATGCAAGCAAGGGACCATGTGACGAGCGAGAAAGCTGGAGGGATTGGTTGAGATGCTAGCAGCAAGTGTGTGAGCTAAGCTGGCTCCTTCCACCACCACCCCTCCCTCCCTTTCTCTGCTCTCTGCTCTCTCTCTCTCTCTTACGCGTTCTCTCTCTCTCTCAGCATCTTTCTGTGATTCTGTAGGTGATACAGTCACAGCAGCATCCATGGCCTGCCTTTTGCCTTAGCCCACTCTCCTTCTGTTTTGATTCCCCATATTTCTTCTCCTTTCCTCCTCCCTCCCTCCCTTCCTCCCTCCCTCCCTTCCTTTTTTTTTTTTCTTCCCCCTCTGACAGTTTCACCAGCGATGCATCTGAGATCCCGGCACTGAGAGTTTACATGAAGCATCTGCTCAACTGGAGTCATAATTTCCCGTATTTTTTTCAGCCTCTGTAGAAACTGAGGAATGCAATTCTGCCACCATGATGGAAGGTAGGTCCTTTGGCTGTTTTAGGCTCGGTGTTTCTGCTGCTGTTTCTCAGGGCAGCATTTGCAGGGCAGATAATGAGGATGCTGGAGGTGCTGTCATTTAGTCTCAGTTATGAGGATTGATTTTTTTTTTTTTTAAAAAGAGCCCAGTTTTGGATTATGACGATAGTTGTCTTTCTGGATACCCTTTGCGGTGATCAAATTGTCAGTTCTGTTGGTGCATCTGAGGAGCTGTAGTATTATTATTATTCATGGAGCTTTTTATTTGCAGGATGGAAAATAAAATCCAGTAGTCTATGGCCTGTAGAAATAGTCTCAGCCCAAGGAAAGAGAGAAGTAGTTGCCCCAAAAGACTGAGATGTTTTTGCTTTGGTCCGATCCCTCCCCCCCACCATCAAAATTGATGCTTGAGAGAATATTGTCATTTTAAAAAACAAGGGAAAGAGGAGATAGAATATCAAGTATCATTCTAAGCTGATGTTCTGCAATCTTTTCAGAGGAAAGATTTTATTTTATGTAATGGAATTCTTTATTTATTTATCCTTATTTCAAGGTATGCCCTTCAAATAACTGGTGGAAATTGGTTAAAGGAAGAGCCTTTTGATATCTATCTGCTTGTATGAGGTTTGTGGTCTGCAGCTTGCATGTTCAGCAGTTGTAGCCGTGGGTTATGGTGCTTATAGGCAGAAAGTACAAGAAGTCCAGGCAGCTTCCTTGGGCCTGCAGTAACAGGATAGGATGAGCCGGTTGGGCCTTCAGGCTTTAAAACCACCCAATGTGCCTATGATCTACTGCAGGCCCACCATATAGCCATCATGGAACATGGGCATTTGCTAGGTTAAGGTGATGGGTGAAAGTAGGACAGGAGGTAGGTTGCATTGCAGTAGCCAGGGCAATTTGACTAGGGACAACAGCAGATGGCAGCAAAGAAATAGAGACATCCATAACTCTCTGCTGTCATCTAGTGGTGGTCGGGATTTTTCACCTAGTTGTCTGGATTTTTTTTTCAGATTTAATCATTGCTTAGGGGCAAAACAACTTCCACTCCAAAGAGGGTGCCTAGGGCGACTGACTGCTGCCTGTCTTGTGGGCAGCTGGTGGACACCACCCCAGGAAGCAGAACAAAACCTCTCACTAGTTTAAGTGGCAACTAATTTGGGGGTGACAGAATTGCCCAACAGTTTACTAGAGTGAAATGGATGAGAGTTTACATAAAACATTGAAGTATATACATTTAAACATGTAGTAGAATGTAAGGCCGTCTGATTGGTTTCTGGAATGGAATTTAATGAAGATGAGGAGTATGTTTTGATTTCATATGTTCTTAAGTACCTCAAGTCCAGGCCAAAGAAAACATGTTATGGAGTTACGATAAAAATTCTGAAATGTAGATGGTGTACAGATCACAATGACAGATGGAGTGATGAGGTTTAAGAGTACTAAGTGCATAAATAGAGCAGTTAGTATATAAATAGAGTACTAAGTCTCTATTTCTTCTGGTCTCCATGCTGTAGATGATACTTTTGGCAAAAATTGACTGACATTTGCAAAGGCCTGCATCTCAAACCTGAAAATTGCACCTATGCTGCATATTCATTCCAGATTTGTCATTTCAACACTCCCCACCCCCCCACACACACTTCAAACCCTGTTTGAACATCTGCCTGGATGTTGCTTCCTTTAATCTAATCATGAAAATGCTACCTACAGCCTATTCTTAACCATGCCAAATCTTTTCACTGATCTTAATGAAATTAGATTACCATTTGACATTTTATAAACTCAGGAATTTCCAATAATGGAAATTGCCTATTTAAGGATTAAAATTCCTGAAATTGATCAGTATTTTCTATTATCGGATATATAGTCTGGAACTGAATGATTTGAATACATTTACATTCATTTCTTTAAATGATGTCTGTGTTTTAAATTTCTGACCTAACTTGCAAGATGAGTATAGATAATTGAAGCCAAGTTATGGGTTTTTTTCAGGAGGGATGAATAGGAGGAACTATTGATATTTTAATATATCTTATTAATAACTTTGGTTTCATTTTTCCTTTACAAATTACGTTTTTCATGACAGACATGAGTACCATATGTAATATTAGGATTAATTACCATTGTACTTAATTTAAAATATGTGAAATAACTACATACACAAATGATTTTTGTGCTATATACAGTGCATTCAGAAGGTATTCAGACCCCCTTCACTTTTGTCAATTTTGCTATGCTGCAGCCTGATTTTACAGTTGTTGAAATTCATTTTTTTCTCATTAATCTACACTCAGTATCCCATAATGACAAAGTGAAAACAGAATTTTATAAATGGCTGTAAATTTATTAAAAATAAAACACTGAAATAGCACATTGGCATAAGTATTCAGACCCTTCATTCAGTACTTTGTTGAAGCACCTTTGGCAGTAATTACAGCTGCGAATCTTTTGGGGTATGACACGGCAAGCTTTGCACACCTGGATTGGGGAATTTTCTGCCATTCTTCCTTGCAAATCCTCTCAAGCTCAGTCAGGTTGGATGGCGACCGTCGATGGACAGCCATCTACAGGTCTCTCTAGAGATGTTCAATAGGGTTCAAGTCAGGGCTCTGGCTACGCCACTCTAGGACATTCACAGAGTTGTCCCTAAGCCACTCCTGTCTTGTCTTGGTTGTGTGCTTAGGATCATTGTCATGTTGGAAAGTGAACCTGTGGCCCAGTCTGAGGTCCTGAGCACTGTAGAACAGGTTTTCATTGAGGATATCCCTGTACTTCGTTCCATTCAGCTTTCCCTCAACCCTGATCAATCTCCCAGTCCCTGCTGCTGAAAAACACCCCCACAGCATGATGTTGTTACCACCATGCTTCACTATTGGGATATTGGGCAGGTGATGAACAGTGCCTTGTTTCCTTCAGACATAATGTTTAGAATTGAAGCCAAATAGTTCAATCTTGGTTTCATCAGATCAGAGAATCTTGTTCCTCACTGTCTGAGAGTGCTTTTTTTGCAAAGTCCAAGTGGGCTTTCATGTGTTTTCCACTGAGGAGAGTTTTCCGTCTACCCACTCTGCCATAAAGCCCAGATCAGTGGAGGGCTTCAATGATGGTTGTCCTTCTGGAACTGTGTCCTATCTCCACACAGGATCTCTGCAGCTCAGTCAGGGTGACCATCAGGTTCTTGGTCACTTCTCTTACTAAGACCCTTACCCCTCTTGCCCGATTGCTCAGTTTGACTGGGCAACAAGCTCTTGGAAGAGTCTTGGTTGTGCCAAACTTCTTCCATTTGAGAATTATGGAGGCCACTATGCTCTTAGGAACCTTCAGTGCAGCAGAAATTTTATTGCAGCCTTCCCCAGATCTGTGCCTTGCAATAATCCTCTCTGAGCTGTGTAGGCAGATCCTTTGATCTCATGGCTTTTGCTCTTCTACAGTATGCATTGTTGGCTGTGAGGCCTTCTATAGAGAGGTGTGTGCCTTTCCAAATCATGTTCAATTAATTTAATTTACCACAGGTGGACTCCAGTGGTGGGTTGCTACCAGTTCTCCCAGATTTGGGCGAACTGGTAGCAGTGGCAGCAGGAGGCTCCACCCACCTGCCCGCACATCATTAAATACTCTCTGCGCATGTGCAGAAGTTTCTGCACGTGTGCAGAAGTGGCACACGTGTGCAGAAGTGGCACACGTGTGCAGAAGTGGCACACGCGTGAGCAAAGCAGTACATGCGAGTGAGCGAACCGGTAGCAAACGTAAGTGAAACCCACTCCTTGTGGACTCCAATTAAACATGTCAGCAATGTGTAAAACATGTTTTTACATGTGTAAGAATGTGTCAGCAATGATCAAGAGAAATGGGAGGCACCCGAGCTAAATTTCAAGTTGCAAAGGTTCTGAATAATGCCAATGTGATATTTTAGTTTTTTCATTTTTATAAATTTACAGACATTTCTAAAATTCTGTTTTCACTTTGTCATTATGGGGTACTGAGTGTAGGTTAATGAGAAAAGAATTAATTTCATCAACTGTAGAATCAGGCTGCAGCATAACAAAATTAACCAATATGAAGAGGGTCTGATTGCATTGTACTACAAAGTATCTACAGGTACATGAATTGATGTTATTGGAGATCAAAGAATGTTATATTTGCTGTGAAAAGGACATTTGTATATATGCTCTCATTAAGACAAGTTTGATCATTGGTTACCTGGCTTCTAATTAGCATAATGCTTTAGGGAGAACCAGAATATCAAAGAATTAAAAGGTAATATTACTATGCCATCTGATTGTGATTGACCAAGTTGAATTCTGTTAGAATATTGTTATGATTATTTTTTTAAGCTTAATCGTAATCTTCATTTTTCCAAGACTCTCAGGTGAGACTGAAGAACTGAAGTTCAGTATCTCAGAAAAACAGAGATTGGCTTTTCAAATTCCATACAAATAAGTCCTCAAATCAGAAGAGCCTTGAGAGTTATTTTATAATTTCTGTATTTTAAATAATATAAAGTATTTTGGGTGAAGTTAAAGTCATTTATGGACTTAATTTATGAAATCAATGGACAAATTAATGTGGCTTTTGCCCTGTTTATTTAATTGGCAATGGTATGTGCCAAAGTATGGATTTCAGAATAATTTTAAACATACAACAAAATAAGCCTGTGAAACTTATTGGCTCAAAATAACTTAAACATTTTAAGACTATTTAGCATTGTTATTAATCAATTTTCAAAGCTTTATTCTATCAAATTTATTGGAAAGGCAACATGATAGTTTTATAGTTAAGTGATACAATCCTTACCAGAAACATTTTAAACCTGTGTTGAACATACTGTTACAAGTACAATACTTTAAAAATAGTACATTATGGATCTTCATCAACGTAGACATTGGCCAACCAATGAATAGACTGAATGAACCTCCATTTTATTATGAAGCCTTCTATGTACTAGTGTCTCTTAAGAGATACCAAACTTCCTATTAATTGATGGAGAAGCAGACTGAAATATA